TCATTTGATTTCTTGACTGCTGCTTCTGTGAGTGTTGACAGTTGGCCCAAGAAGAATGAACTCCTTGACAACTTCAATCTTTTCTCTGTTGATAAGAATGTTGTTTATTAGTCTAGTGGTGAGGATGTTGTTGTTGTTGTTAGGTCCCATCGAGTCGGTACTGACCCATAACGACCTTATGCATAGCAGAACGAAGCAGATTGGCCCGATCCTGGGCCAACCTCACTCCTTTTGCCCCGCTTGAGTTTATCGGTGCTACCACTTGGTCGGTCCATCTCGTTGGGGGTCTTCCTCTGTTTTTCTGATCCTCCACATTACCAAGCATGATATCCTTCTCCAGTGACTGGTCCTTCCTGACCAGTTCACCATGGGTGACCCTACTGGTATTTAAAATACCGGTGGCATAGCTTTCAGAATCACAACTCACAAGCAACTCACAAGCTACCACAGTACGACAAACTGACAGACGAGTGGTGGTGGTGAGGCTGTTGTGGTTAAATGCTGTCGAGTCGGTTCAGACCCATAGTGGCCCTGTATAGGGTTTCCGAGGAACAGCTGGTGAGCTTGAACTGCCGACCTTGCAGTTCAAACGGCTTTGCAGTCTGGCGCATTAACCTACAGTGCCACACCAGGACTCCGGTGGTGAGGCTAGCATTCTTCAATTTCATCATCACTGACTTCAGTGGTGTAGTGAGTTTTAGTGGTATTAACTGGTTTTCCTTGGATGTTGTCCTGTCCTAGACCTTGAAATGTTGTTTTGTTGATGCCTGCAATGCCATTCCTCTTGAATTTATCATTCCTGGCATAGTAAACCATGTGGTTGTCTGATTCCGAGTGGCCTGTACCTGTCCATTTCAGCTCACTAATGTCTAGCATATTGACCTTTATGCATTCCATTTTTTAAAAAAAGTTTTTGTTATGAATTATGTGATAGTTTACATGGGAGAACATTAACTTTACATTCACACTATCGTACTTTGTTTCATTGCCATGATTACAGTCCTCTCCATGCCTCATCAAACAACCAAAGGGTACACCCCACAGGCCTGCCCCCCGGCTGTCAGCACACAGCCCCTCTCCTTCCCTGAGTCTCAAGTCCCCAGCCGCTCCATCTCTCCACGTCATTGTCTCTGCCTCCATCTCTGGCATCACTGCTTCTTTGGGTAGGGTCCCACATTC